GATAATTACCGTACTAAAAGTTGGTTTCTATTGATTATTAAGTAGTTTTCTACTCTCGTGTGGTAATATTTTTATCATTTTTGCACCCGTGTGGTCGCGAGTGGTCCCGTGTGGTCGCGAGTGGTTCCGTGTGGTATTTAGTAGGACCGCACCGCGTCGTTTAGATTCTTGTCACTGAGCATATTTTATCGTGTCGTTGTCGAGCCGTTATCGTGCCTGTGTAAATGTAGCTTAAGCCTTTTTTATTTGTTTTTTTTTAAAGTTTTAATAACTTTAAGATCAGATACCGTTTTATACAGCCTGGGTCTCTATATTGTACTAGCTAGGTCTACGCTTGGCTCTAGCAAGAGCTACATGGTTGATGCAGTAGGCCTATTAACTGAGTAGAGGCTAGGTCCAGCTGCTAGCTCAACCTAGGCCCAAAATAGATTATAGTGGGCCTATTATTATTATTCATCTGAAGTTTTTCATTATTTCTTTTAAACTCTGTGTTTCCAGTTGTTAAATATCACGACAATATCAGTTTTCACAAAAAAAAGTTCATCAAAATCAAAAACCCTCACCCGGACGATTACGTTCTTTTTTTACAAACTCGACACTGGACAGCGTTTACGCCGACGCAAAATTCTGGCGCATGCGTAGAAACATAAATATTTTGGGCACGGTGGGTTTTTCGAAAGGGCCAAAGTTCGTCGTGCATCGTGCATCATCATCATCATCAAAATTATTTCAAATTTATTCTAGGTAAAGTAAAACTGTTTCCGCTGTAGGTCCTGAGCTAGACCCCTGTAGAAACGTACCCCATTTTAACATTCGGAGCCTCCACCCTATGGTTCATTCTGATTCTTGTTGCTCTAGTGGGTATATCTTTATCACCCGGTAGATCTGTCCATTGAGTCGGAATACCTACATCCATGGTCTGTCTGTCATTAATAAACCAAACATTAATATAATACAAAAAAATAATACAACTATTCCTGGCTAGCAGTCTTTTATTCGAAACTCGTATTCGAAGGCCTATCAAAAGACAATCAATAGGTTTATTAAATAACGCATAGCATATTGTACCCTGTGGATTCATAACATATGTTTTTAATCAGGCCTTAATTTTTTTATGTGTATTTCACTATATCCTTCAACTCGTATAAATATAATAGGCTTATACCTAAATCATTTTCATTCCACGGAGGAATACAATTGATTTTATTCCGCCATGGTCATTCATAATGAATTTATATAATACAATTGTGCTTCTTGCACTTTATTCATTCATTGAGGAATAAGCATCTCATTTCATCTAGTTATGGCATTTTCGCAATACACTGCCTTATTCACATTATTTAAAACAAAAACAAAAACGAATTGTGATTTGGACATTGTTTTGGGTCATGAAGACCTACTATTGTCTTTGTCCAGATATAGCATTCATAACATGTTGGTATAGTAATTAAACTGTTGTAACCTGGTTGCATATATTATACAGGACGGCATAAGCCAGATTAGGATTATATAACCCTCGCATATTGCATTCTACAAGGACAGTCACCAGTCCTAAATATATGAATATGATGACATTAGAATAATGGAGTGCATGTTTAATGATTTTCTCTGCCCACTGAGCGGGTACATGGCCTAATGAGTCATACCGTAAGAAGGTCAAACTCTTCCAACAAAATACTCTTATTATAATGGAAAGGTCCCTCATCATGAACATTCCCCTCACTCCCTCACATCCGCAATTATGATAGATAATTTTAATAATGATAATTTTAATAATGATAATATTATATGTTAGACTTAAATAGCGCTTAATGCCAACAAGGCCTCTATGCGCGTCACATTTATTAACCCTTCGGTCATTTGATCAGGCACATAATGGACCGCAATACTCAGCTCCCTTGGGAGAATTCCATAATTTTGCAGTTGTAATCAGCGCATTTTGTGTTGGAGCTTACCAGGTACCCACTTGTACTCTGGGTGGAGAGAGAACCGTAGAAAAAGTGCCTTGCCTAAGGACACAAGTGAAATTACAGCGAGGGATTGAACCTCCGACCTCAAGGTTGAGACTAGCAGAACCGCAATCGCGGTTTACAAAAAAAAACAATAATGTGTTTTTGCTATATTAAAAATAAGCCTAATAATAATAATAATAATAATAACAATAATAATAATAATATAGAACATTTTATAAAGCGACGGTATTAGTTTAAAAGAAAAAGCTCATTGCGCCCCTCCACAAGAATATCAAAAAATTAAATAGCAAATTGAATGAAACCAGAAAATAATTATATAAATACTCTCTCTATGTGGCCATGTATAGGCCTACACAGATACACCACATATTTATTATACCGGTATACTTTAAGTTGTTCTTTCAATTATGCCCATATTTTGCAAGCAGTTAAACCCTTTAATTCTAATTCAACATTTTACTACATTTGAAAATGTAGGCTATGGCGGCATTCCCAAGGTAATCTAAATAATATAATAATACGCCATCACTAAGTATCCATAAAATACACAGTAGGCCTAAGTGCGAGTAATTTATCATAGGTCTAATGGATTAACGTTTACTTTTGAACAAACACTGCTTCCCATGAATTTTCCATCCACAACTTTTCACCATATCCGTCTTGTGGACCACTAATTTCTTTCAGGAACGAAATAAATTCAGAATACAATGATTCCGGTATGCTTCCACGTAAATTGATCACATGACTAAGAAAATCTATCATATATTGACCCTCTTGTGAGTCCTCAATGAAACATTCGGTGACGTCAACATCATTTCTCCGTCGTTGGAGCTGGTAGTTGATTTTCAGATTAGACAAGTTTTCGATTATCTCACTCGCTGATATTTTTTGAAAGCATACACTTTCGTATATTTTGGAAAATTTCTTCCACAATCTATAGCAACCACTTGTTTCTGGACCCAAAAAAAAAAAGAAAAAAGAAATGCAATTCAGAAAATGAATAGGCTTATTACATATTTATTTCCGGATAATAATAAGATACAATCGGTTTGAAATAATTACACTCAATGAACAACTATTATATATTGAACCCTAAATCTGGTGTTAGTCTCTTCAGAGTCAAAATGATCATAGAATTTGAGAAAAAAAAAATATCTATGCTGTACAAAAAACTAAAACTGTAGGGTTTGAATCTTACCTGCGGTCATTATGACGACCATTATTCCACCATTCTCCAGGATGTCATTAAGATACCGCAAGGAATCCTCAACATCGTCAACATAGTACAAGGAATTGACGGCAAAAATAACGTCAAATTTGTTAGAGGTTCCAACATCATCACGGTATTGGTTCAAAGTCTGCCGTCTCCAGTGATGTGTTATTCCCTTTAGTTTACTGGATTCTTTTTCGACCAACTTCCGGTATTCATCTATGTGGTTCTTAGCTGGCTCTAAAACGGTGGTGACTATCAATGGAAACTTTTCCGTAAGTTGAAGTATGTTACTAAACTCAACCGCACCTTAAGAAGCAAATAAGAGATGTTATTGTGATATTAAGATATTTCATTATCATCATCACCACCATCATCATCATCATCATCATCAAGGTAGGTGGAGACATAAACCCTACATTATTGATGCCCTACCTCTTGAGATCAAAACATCATCTTCTGTCAGTATCTTTAAGAAAAAGTTAAAATCTTATCTGGTGTCCGTCTCATTCTACGTTTTTGACACACATGTAAATTGTTTATTTATTTTTTTCATTTTTTTAAAAATCTTACATTTATATACTGTATCATTAGTAAATGTTCACTTTGTGTATTAATACCATTGTCGTAGCGCCACTGAACATTACATTTTGCCTTGGAGATTGACGCTATACTAATCTTTGTTGATTGATTGATCATCATCAGCAGCATCACCACCATACACATTTTAACATAAGAAAGAATAAAATCAATCAGAATCAATGTTGCTGACTATTTTAAACAAGAAACGTTATGGGACATGATGAACACTTCATATGTATTGGGGTTCTACTGCACTATATAATGTAATAATAATAAAAAGTATTGATGATATGGTGAGTAAAGTAAGTAGGCCTAATTTGTTTAAAATGCCTTTATATGAATAAATTATTACGGTATGTTTCGATATGAATGAATTATTATGTTGCGATATCGAATATTTCCAATAAATAGTATGCCTATGTAGAAATCAAATACTAAAGATTAGACTGAATAAAATTATTACGCAAAGTACAAAGAATATTTTTTTAAATATTATTTCTTAATCGTAATCATGTCTAATAAATAGGAAACTAATGTATTAAGCATGTTTAAAGTCTAAAATACTTGCACATACAGTTGTACCAACATAGATAAATTAATTGTATATTTTGAACAGCAATTGAACACATACAACTTTTATCCCAAGTTAACACTCATAAAAACATTCTCACGTGGCACCCATAAGGCCAACAACACGAACTGGCTTGTGGTTGGTTGAAACGGTCTTTTTCCTTATATCTACCATCCCCATTCCACCATATTCCACAAGCTTTTTGATCGACCCCACTTCTCTTTTCTTTTCAACTTTTTGATCCACCCTATTTATCTTTTCTTTCAACTCACTCAAAACGACCATATTATTCTCAATATCACTACTACGATCATCTAAAGAAGTCCCTTTGACAACAGTGTACCGTATGCTAAAGTTTCTTACCGGTTCCACTACCAACACCAAGAACCTTTAGCGGTCTTTCCTTAACGCTAAGCTTTTCAATAAGCTGATTTTTAACGAGTTCATCTGTCCATTCAATCAGTGCATTTGCCCTTTGTTGTCGCTTTGTTCGTTCGTCAAAAACTTTGACGTAATATTTAGGATCATCAAATATACTGCGGAGCTGATCCGTCATTATAACACTTCAATCGTAGCCTCTTCTTCCACTGACTGACAGTGAGCAAAATCATGTATATATATATTAGGTGTTACGCCTCATTCATTTTTAAAATATAATAGGCCTAAAGGTCAGGTTTTGGAGGTGAACGTGGTTGGCTACCTTAGTGTTATGCACGATATTTTGGGCATAAAATAATTCAACCTTTATGATACATACTATTTCAAAGATGCTGGGAGTACTGGGATGGGTTCAGATATATGTAAGAGGGGTCCAGAAAAAAGGGGGCACTCCTTTTTTTCTGCAGCAGCTGTAACGGTGAGGGTTGTGTAAGCTCTCTAGACGTGCAACACTCTTCCTCAATTTGATGTGTGACCCGGGAAATTTCAAACGACTTCGGCTGCTATAATTAAGAGTAATGCAAGGGCACTCCCGCAGTCTATAGTCAAGTGCAATGTTACTACAATATTTTTAATTACCTTATGGAGCCTAAGTGATCTTTTTATATGAATTTACTGCAATTTTAATTAGTCAATTTCGCACCTTTGAACTCTCTTCCAAAGAATTTTGTAGGAGGATTTTTTTTATGTCTTAACGGATCTTTTCGATTGTTTTAACGGAATTTTGGTGTTAATCGTGTTCTGTTCATCCTTCCTTGAATTCTGTCGAACTGTTTTGTCTGTCCTGTTTTTACGATTGAAATATTATTTTGTTTACTATGCTCCACTTACCTATGCCGAATATCTGCTCCTTTTACCGTACTGTACGAACGTAATTTGAATAATGAATTCTCCATGTGTTGCCTTTGTAGCGCGACAAGTCCTTGTCTAATAATGGAAGACAGTAAAAGAATAGTGCTACGATATAATTCTTCCAGATCTATGCATTCTGGACCGTAAATTGTAACAAACTTTTTTATGGTCCTTACTCAAATTAGTGATAATGGAAATCACATCGGTGGCAACAACTCTTAAGGCTTTACTGCAAGTTGATTGTAACTTGGATAAGTGTCGTTTTATACTTCTTAACCGTGTTTCCAATGTTATTGTTTTTTTTTTAAATGTGAATCAGAAAATTCATTTAAATTTATGTGTGTTACCATTGATTACCCCATCGAAAATTGGAACAACTACCGTATATTTTAATCAAGAGCGAACGCTCACCAGTGTCGTAGCTAGAGATTTTGGCGCCCGGGGACAAGAGTAGAAAATTGTGCCTCCTTTCCCCCCAATTATAATTATAATATTGTGAAATAAATTGATATGGGTTGTATAGGCTTTAAGCATATCCGTACCGTACAGTATCATGCACTGTAGAATAAGCACTGTTCTAGTTCTAGCAAAATGTTTTGACAATTTATGGGTTTCAAAGGCTTAGGCCTATTTAATCGATTTTAGAGTCTATTAATATGTAAAAAACATACATATAGGCCTAATTTTGTTTTCTCCCCGACGAACTATGGTTTTCTCCCCGACCGGGGGGGGGGGGGTAATCCCGAAGGTGGCCTGGCCCCCGGTGCGCCACCCCTGTTTCTTACTACTGAAACTGCATTACGATGTTCGGTACAACTTTCTATACAACTTTACCATTATCCTAATTTGTAAGGCCGTTGTATTTATCGCATACAGCTTAGTATTCTTATTGTCTTGTAAGTTGCTGAATTTGTAACATTGTTTAAACTCGCAACTGAATTTTGCGTGCTTTTGCATCTGCAAACAAGTTAATAACATGATCAAAGTTGGAATTGTTGTGTGCTTCATCACGCTCAATACTAAGGAGTGCCAAAGCAGATAGTCTCACTTGTCCCATCGTGGCTCTGAGATATGGCAGGATGAGCTTTAGTCATGTAGTCATACAGAATAGGATAAAAAAATTTAAAAAAAAGAGAAAACGGTCGAAATGGAAATGAAAAGAAATCACAATCTGTAAATTTGCCAATAAAAACAACTGCATTCAGATTTGTATTATTAACTGGAAGATATTGGATGTCCCTTTTTGAAATTTGAAGTGTTTTTATTTTAGTTTAAGTACCTGTATTGTTTTGGACGCATCTCCTATGATTGAGAAGTGTGCCACTGACGAAAACGTGCAGTTACTAATAAATTTTTATTTTTTTTAAAGCGAAGAGTACCTTATGGGTCAGTTTGGCCGTAAGCATTATATTTTCCCACACAGTTAAAGCAGATATTATAGAGGGCGCTATTATAGGTCAGTTAAGTTAACTGATAAACATGAATGTGCATGCTTTGACTTTGTTTGAAAAGGCTCGGAGACTTGCCGACTGTTTATATCTTTCAGAATCAGTAGGCCTACTACATGCAATGCAGTAGCCAAATTTTCAATTAGGCCTAGTGCGGGACAATATCACGGTGGACCCACTTTACGTGTAAATTCAAATAATGTGGATCCATTTTCTTTTAAAAGTTGACCCATTTCACGCAAAAATATGAAAAATGTGGACCCATTGTCTTAAAAGTTTACTATTTTAAAGCAAAAGTGGTACCAGAAAAAGTATACTATGAAACGCCAAGCAAATACGTAAGAAGCGCCATTGATGCCAAATCGATTTTTTTTCAAAGCTTTTTTACACTAAGACAAAGTTTTAGGGATTAGAACCAAGTCTAATTCATATTATCAGTTCACATCACTGACCTCAAATAGTTCCTTCTATAATTTCTGCCTTAACTGCATGGGGAAAAAATAATACGAGCCAATCCACCCCACAGCCTCGGGTAAGGCCGCCTTCATAATTATTATTGCTTGAGTATTATAAAACCTTTGTGGATACCAAATTTTGATTCTAATAAAATATACACAGATACAATTTTAAGAATGAAACTCAATATAGATCCTGGTGTATCTCATATATTAATCTTTTAAAACGCTTAATAGTACTGTACTAGATGACATCTGAAATCAATAGACGTTTTCGACAATGTATAGGAATGGTTAGCAATAGACATACAGTATTGTGAACAATCCCCAATACAGATATCTCTTGCTCCGACCACAATTGATAATGAAACAAATCCATGTATATTTTGGAATTCAATATTTCAATATGTAATAATTAAACAAAATAAAATGGTGTACAATTTGCGGAGGCTCCCAACGAAGCAAATTACGACAGTTTTGCTGCTGTATACCACGACCACACTATTTCAGCTACGTCATAGTATGGCTACGTCACGATTCCCGTAGCTGTTTGGCTGCTTATTACGAATTCTCATGTGATTATGTTCTGCAATGAGATTTTTATATTGTGGTATAAGTTGTTGTGGAAACCCAGAAACAGAGGTTAGGAAGAGGACGGCGTTTCTTTGAAGTAAATTATATTCATGTGTTGAAATACTTCAGCACTTCATTAGGTCTCTTTTATACACATTATGTTGAATTACCTTGGTGAAACATACGTGGAAAATGTGATTATATATATATATTTATTTTGGAATCAACATACATCATACATATACCTGTCTCTTATACACATCTAGATGTGTATAAGAGACAGGTGTGTATGTATGTGTGTGGGTGTGTGGGTGTGTGTGTGTGTATGTATGTATGTATATGATAAACGTATATCATGTAAGACCGAGAACTAATGTGCAAGAGTGTGGAAAATATTATCATATTATATTATATATGATATTGGAAGACTATGATGGTTAATTAGTTATTATGTGTTATTTAATATATACAAAAAGTGATTTTTACATGTAAGCTGATACTTAATACTGTAATAATTTGCATTCACTTTTTATTGATATATTTATTTATTCAAAATTTTGCACAGTGGAAAGTGAAAGCAATCTCCATAGGAGATAGGCTATGATGTCATACACTGGAATTTAAATATATACGCCCTTACTGACTGTAAAATGGTTGTACATGCGGCTAATGCATAACAGATTAATGTTATCAATCGTAACTGCAGCTTTAATTACTTCTGAACGAACACGGCTTCCCATGAAGTTTCCATCCACAACTTTTCACCATATCCGTCTTGTGGACCACTAATTTCTTTCAGAAACGAAATAAATTCAGAATACAATGATTCCGGTATGCTTTCACGTAAATTGGTCACATGACTAAGAAAATCTATCATATATTGACCCTCTTGTGAGCCCTCAATGAAACATTCGGTGACATCAACATCATTTCTCCGTCGTTGGAGCTGGTAGTTGATATTTAGATTAGACAAGCTTTCCATTATCTCACTCGTTGATATTTTTTGAAAGCTTACACTTTCGTATATTTTGGAGAAGTTCTTCCACAATTTATAGACACCACTGGTTTCTAGAAAAATTAAGAGAGAATAAAACAAATACAATGAAAATAGGCCTACTACACATTTTCAGATCAGAAGATAAAAATAGATTAAAATATTTTAAAGCAATGAACTACGAAATCTTCAACATATTTTCCGAGTATTTATAGTAATGAAAACTTAATTACAGAACTTATGCGTTTCACTTTACACTGGTCATGTATACGAGTACAAATACAAGTTCATCAAATATTTGAAAATAAACCAAACTTATTCATTGCATTATTTGAGATTTCAAACAAATACCGTAAATACCTATATAAAATAAATTAGCAAGTGCATGTTTGGAAAGCTTACCTGCGACCACAATTACGATCATTATTCCACCAACCTCAAGTATGTCATACATGTACCGTAATGATTCCTCAACATCGTCAACATAGTACAAGGAATTGACGGCAAAAATAACGTCAAATTTGGCAGAAGTTCCAACATCATCACGATATTGGTGCAAAGTCTGTGTTCTCCAGTGATGTGTTAATCCTGTAATGGATTCTTTTTCTACCAACTTCTTGTATTCATCTATGTGATTCTGAGCTGGTTCTAAAACGGTGGTGACTATCAGTGGGAACTTTTTCGAAAGTTGCAATATGTTACTAAACTCAACCGCACCTTAAATAAGTAAATAAGAGATTCAGTTTTTTCTATAGTGCATTACATGATCTTCATCATCATCGTCGTAATTATCCTGACTATCATCATCATCATCATTATCCTCATCATTATTACCATCATTATCCTCCACATCACCATCCTCATCTTCATCATCATCACTATCAACACCACACTAACATCATTGCAATCACAACCATACGAATTACGGAATAGGATTAGCTGGTTTACATTGCGCATTTCACAATAATGGAGAATAAAATTACATAAAATTATTATTTTTAATACTAGGCCTAAAATATTTAATGTTGCTGGCACTATTGTAAGCAAATAATATTTAAGAAAAACTAATAGAGCGGAGTAAACGCAGTATTGTAAGAACATTGCATGTAAGTAATTTATTAAGATTCCAAAGGTCCGACCAAGCCAATACCTATATGAAAGCTGCATTCACACTGAATCCGAATTTTCGGACAGAAAGGCCTACCGAACTGATCCGAAAATCCAATCAGTGTGGAAGAATAGCGCATCGGAAGCGTGGTCCTAATTTCGGTTCGAGAGGGATGTGAATGCATCTTAAGTCTGTATGTAGATACTACTTTGAAGTATAACTTTATGGATTAGTCATTTACAATATAACGTCATAACTCCCGGAATAGTATTGGAGTACAAACATAAAATAGCATTTCGGTATTCTTTGCATAATTACCTAAATTAAGTATTTTCTGTAAATTAGAGAAAACCGGAACTTTTAAGTTGATAGGCCAAACTGAGTTTTTTAGTGTTTTATAACGTTATATGACTACTTACTTAATCCATAGAATTAACCGAGAAGTAATTTTTTTTAAACAGAAATGGGAACCACTTGTAGAACATTACTACCGGGCACTCACTGGCAATGCGCCCGACGGTCGTCAGCCGACGTGTTTCTATAAAGAATGCAAAGCCACGACACGCGCATAACGGATCATTGATTTAATGACGATCCATTCAGCGTTGTCTTGCGCTCACACGGACCGCAGTTGGATTCGTCGTATGACGGTCGTACGACGCAGTGAGTGTCCGGTAATGACATCATTATACTTGTTCATACTGTAAAGCTATGTATATTACATTAACAGAACGTTGCACTATGGAGGAATAAGCACCAAAGTTTGCAAAGTTTTATTAGGCTGAAAAATAGGACTTACATTATGTATCTATACTTTCTTTCCTTGTTGATTTTTAAGTACTGGTTTTAGAATAAAGTTTTGAACACCAACTGAAACGTACTTGTTAGCTGGGTTAGTTCTGAGGCCAGGATGTACAAGACAGGGGTGGGGTTGAAGTCATCAGCGTATACCACGCACTGCAACTTAAGACGTATTTTTCTTCCAGATGATCTTCCCGGTGTGAAAGGGGAAGCCGCCCATGACGGGAAGGCGAGCGAGGGGGGTGGGGGGAACACATCCGCCATTCTGGCGCCATCTTGATAACTGGATAGTAGCTTCCAAAATATTGTCAACGGTGGGGTTGCACATCCCTCCCCGTCCCCAAAAGCGCAGGGGGTGGCGTCAGGATTTCCATGACGGGGTTCGAGGTCCCGGACGGGGGCGGGGGGGTAAGACCAAAGCCCCCCGACGAGGGAGAAGATTTCCCCGACGCTTAAAGTGTTTCGAAAGTGGTCTAGCAAATTTTTTTTACAATTTAGGGGTTTCAAAGACTTATTTAATCGATTTTAGTGTCTACTAATATGTACAAAAACACAATTTTTTTTCTCCCCGACCAATTGTGGTTTTTCTCTTTGATGGAGGGGCCAGCTCTCTCCAACGAGGGGGGGGGGGAACCTTTCCCTGGCCCCACCCTATGCACTTACGGGAAATTTCGAGAGATCATGTTGAAAAAACCACCATCTTTTACATTTTTTTAGCTGGCTAACTTCCCCCACTTTGAGTCACACCCCATATCACCCATCCCTCAAGAAGCACTTAACCTTGGTAATCCTCCAGCTGTTACATTTTTTCAGCTGGTTAAATTCCCCCACTTTGAGTTACACACTCCATATCACCCATCCCTCAAGAAGCAGTTAACCTTCATAATCCTCTAGCAGATCCTCATGACGATGATCCTTAATACACCACTGCATGATACAGTATGATAGCTGCCAAAGGTTTACTTTAAATTTCATAATAATTTTATGTTCTTGCAAAATTAGTTTTTTATACTTACAGTACGAGGCATATTAAATTGAAAAACTCGGTAGAATACGTATACTCTATGAAATTACATTAGTACAGAAGAGAAGGTA